AGCCTGGTCTCTCCAAGGGGGGGGGCCACGACGGTGAGAGGCCCACGTACCGCAAAAAAGAAAAAAAAAAAAAAGAGAGAAACCACTGCAATGAGAAGCCCGCACACCGCAATGAAGAGTATCCCCCACTCGCCACAACAGAAAAAGCCCACATGCAGCAACGAAGACCCAATGCTGCCAAAAATAAATGAATATTAAAAAAGAAAGAAAGAAAGAAACTGACATCCTCTCCTGATGCTCTCTGAGCCCTCAGCTAAGACTTAAAGGGACAAGGACCCAATTAAAGACAGGCAAAACCATTGGCAATCCCAATTAGTGGTATGGTTCTCTAAGTACTGTTAGAAGTGTTAGTTCCCAGCGGTTTTCGAGAAATGCAAAGAAAATAAATGAGGCTTTATTTTGTTTTGTGGTAGTAGTAGTAGTAGTAGTAGTACGACAAATAATTTTTTTAAAGGGGGCCTGATAAGGCAAGTGGTACAATGCTAGCTGACAGAATTCTTATCTCATTTCCATGCTTAGAAACTGAGAAGAGCAGAGCCATCATGGTTGAGAAGTGGTGCTCCATAGTCCTATCCTAACCTCAAGGTGGGTGAGATGTGGTATGGAAAGCACCAGGCTGATTGAAATGACTTGGTGTCTTAATCCCAGAAAAGGACAATCAGCTAATCTTGAAGGAATTGTGAGGAAGCAGAGTGAGGTAGAGATTTGGTCCTGGCAACATTTTGGGAAAAATCATTACATAGGTGGCTTGTGAGCTCTTACTTAGACATGAACGTAGTCATTGCTGAGAGCCACCATGGGTTCCCTGGGAGCTAAGAGTGTCAACTGATCACATTCCTTTTTTGAAAGGAGTCCTTTCCTGGTAGATAGGGGAGTAGTCATTCACTCCACATTTATCAAGCATTCTGTTTCAGTCATTGTGTATGTTTACAATTTAGAAAGCATTTTCTTTAAAATACGATTTTGGGAATTCCCTGGTGGTCCAGTGGTTAGGACACTGTGCTTCCACAGCAGGGGTC